GGGAAACAGGAGAATTGGGATAAAGGAAAGGTGGATGAGGGAGCACGGAACCACAATTCTTAGTTAAGGGAGCCACTTTAGGGTGGGCAAGAGACTTGACCCTAGAGGGGCTCCCTAGTGCCCAAGATGAGGTTCCCAGTTAGTTCCTTGGGCAGCTGAGGATTGGGAACCTGAAATGACCCAATCATAGAGCAATACTGAAGAATATCTTGCATATCATCATAGAATCTTCATCTGGTGATGGATAGAGACAGAGACCCACACAGGAGCACTGGACTGAGCTCCCAAGGTCCCAATGAGGAGCAGAAGTAGGGAGAACATGAGCAAAGAATTCGGGACCACGAGGCGTGCATCCACCCACTGAGACAGTGGAGCTGATCTACGGGGAGCTCACCAAGGCCAACTGGACTGTGACCGAAAAAGCATGGGATAAAACCGGACTCTCTGAACATGGCGAACAATGAGGGCTGATGAGACACCAAGGACAATGGCAGGGGGTTTTGATCCTACTTAATGTGCTGGCTTTGTGGGAGCCTAGCCAGTTTGGATGTTCACCTTCCTAGATATGGACGGAGGGGGGAGGACCTAGGACTTACCACAGCGCAGGGAACCCGGACTGCTCTGTGGACTGGAGAGGGAGGGGGAGAGGAGTGGGGGGAGTGAGAGAAGGGTGGGAGGAGGGGTAGAGGAGTGGGGGGAGGGGGAGAAGGGTGGGAGAAGGGGAAGGGAAATGGGAGGCTGGGAGGAGGTGGAAACTTGTTTTTTGTTTATGTTTTTTTTTCTTCTTTTCGCAATAAAAAAAAAAAGGCTCGATGTAACCAACATTCAAATCTTGCTAACTTCCCTAAGGGTACGAGCAGTAATTCATGGAGAATCTGTAAGTTAGAAACCTTGGATAGTTGGGCTCTTTCTGCAATAATACTGGCTACTGTTATTATTTTTGAAGTCCTACAGGTCCTTCTGACGGCTCTGATACTGAGGCACAATGTCCAGTTCAGGCAACAGTCCTACTGAAACGTCGCTCTAGTTTCCCACCCCTCCCGGGGCTGCACTTGAGCTGTAGAGGTTCTCTGTTTCCTAGTGCCCATCCTGGACCCTCTTCCGGGCTCTTAGGAGGAAAGAGGCAAAGTGGACAAAAGCCATTCAGGTCAACAACTTGATCCTATGTTTGTTCTTGGGATCTATTCCAGAGTCTTGGAATTTAGCAGTTAAATAGTTTTGATTTCTCTGGAAAAATCCAGCTCCCTTGCTTATTCGAAGTTATTGTGTGTTTGAGTTGCAATCCACACATTTACTAGTTTATATTTGTCTTCTGCTTCCATTTGGGAATATTTTTACAGAACAACTACTCTAAAAACTCAGTTCCCTGAACAGGCATAACAGGAGAAGCATCAAGAGTCATGCAATGTAACAAGGACCAGGTGCCTTGTTTGTCTCAGTCGCCTGGCTAGCTTACACAAAAAATAACCACACAGAAACTGTATTAATTAAAATACTGTTTGGCCATTAGCTTTAGCTTCTTATTGGATAACTCTTTCATATTAGTTTAACCTATCTACATTAATCTGTGTATCGTCATATGGCAGTGGCTTTCTGGAGATTCTAACTGGCATCCATCTCTGGTGGAGGATCCATGGCTTCTCTGTGACTCTGCTCTTCTTCCTCCCAGCGTTAAGTTCTATTATTCCCATCTACCTAAGTTCTGCCCTATCAAAAGTCCAAGCCAGTTTTTTATTCATTAACCAATGCAAGCAACAGACAAAGAGAAGAAATCCTTCACCAGTGCAAGAGCTGGGCAGTGGTGGTGCATGCCTTTAATTCTCACACTCAGAGGCAGAGGCAGATGAATCCCTGTAAGTTTGAGACCATCTTGGTGTACAAAGTGAGCTTCAAGAGAGCCAAGACTATACAGAGGGACCCTATTTTGAAAAACAAAATAACAAACAAACAAAGTCTTGCAAGATTCATTACAGCTATGAACATGAGCACAAGCCTGAAAATGGAAAAACTATTACAGAATGTGCTGTGCCACTTCAAATATTCAGGGTAATCCGCGAAATCGTAACTCATTGAAATGAAGGATGCAGGGACAACAGAAGCATAGAAAGCTATGTTAAATAAATAAAAGCAAAGAGAGTTGGGAAGAACATAATGAAGAAGAATAAAAGAAATCAAAACATTATAAATCAGTAAAAGAGAAACAAAAAACCCAACAGATTTCCCAATTATAAAAAAATAAAAAATAAATCTAGATTAAAAATCTTTATAAAAGGAATAAAAGTAACATATGAGTATTTCTTTAGTCTGGAGAGACAGCTCAGTGATTAAGAGCATTTGTGCTCTTGTACAGGACCTGAATTTGATTCCCAGCACCCACATGATGAAACTCCAATTCCAAGGAATCCAGTACCCACTTCTAACCTCTGTACAAACCTGGTACACATGTGGTGGGCAGACATTCATGCAGGCGAAACACCCATACACAAAAAAAATAAGATACTTTTTAAAAGCATGATTTTTAAACTAAGATAAAGTCAAGTTTCTAATTAGTAATAAAATAAGTATATTTCTAAAAGTATTTTAAAAAATTACAATCTTAAGGGCCAAAGAATAAAGAAGTTGAGGTGTTTGAGCAACTCCATTCTGGGTCCTTGAAAGTCTGATTCTACAAGCCCAGTACATGGTTGGGGAGGGACAGCAAAGCCTTTTGATCCTTTTCAGTTGTTCTCCTATACCCGATATCCCCACCCCTCATCCTCCACCCAACCCCTTCTCTTAGCCTACAATGACCTTACCTTAGTAATTTGCTTTCTTGAATAGCAGCGGCCCCTGGTGGCTAGTTGTAGCCTTACAGTCTGTGAGCAGGGCAAGCTCCCTTCCTCCTGAGACAGCTAATTCCTGGTGAACTGGGGTTAGCTAGGAAGTATATTCCAGTACACTGGGAGTGTGGAAAGCAAACCCAGCTCCGAGACTGGTCATGTTGGAGGACCTGCCATTCTACTTACAAGGCCTCCTAAGTATTAGTCACCCTGTTGAAGGGATGTTACTTAGTGTGTATAAATCACACCCCTGGAACTTCAGAGTTCCTAAGCTCTATAGCATTCTCAAATGACATATACATAGCTCCAGATGTCAGTCCATAATCTGGCCTCTGGCTCTCAAACTCAAGGAATTTTTTCAGTTGATGAAATGTTTTTCTAGCTACAGAGGGTTGGAAGCACCATTCCCCATGTACTTCCCTGCCTGAGCTGGGCCTCCTGCTAACTGCACCCTTCAACTTGTTGGTCTCTGGCCCTACTGCCTTCTACAGCTGCCTTCTTTGGTCTCCTTTCACAAGAGGCTATTGAAGGCAAACTGAGGCTCCATGATTGTCACTATTCCTTTATCTCAAGTCCCCAAGATAGGTCAGTGTGTGTGTGTGTGACATTGCCCTCTCTTAAACATTGCAGATACCTCCATGGAAAGGTGACAAGGAAGGAAAGAAGATAGGAAGGAAGGTAGAAAGGAAGGAAACAACTAGGAAGAAAGAAAGGGACCTAACTAATAAACATTTCAGATGCTACTAACTTCACATGCAAAATCCCAACACAAAGAAAATCATGAAAACACAGCCCTCAAAAGAGTGTTTTGTTTTCTCCAAATATAATCAATCCTGTCATAATGCTCTGTAATGATATTGACTTATAAGACACGAATGTATTCGAAGAGAACAAGAAACTGACATAAAGAATCCATTGCACATTAAGGAAACAGAACTCTGTCAAAGTCACTGAAGAAGGAAACTGACATAATGTTTGAAATGAAAAGTCAGTCATATCAGTGAAAAGTCTCAACAGGTGGACAGATAGGGTGAAGGGCTAGATGTCAAAGCTTAGAGGCAATGCGGAGAAATTGGATCATACTATCCAGGTCAGCAAAACTTAAGAGAAGGAGGCACTTTGCAGAGAGATCTTGCAAAAATCGAGGCTGTGGAAGCAAAGACAACACCAGGGGCTTCGGAACCAACACTGAGCTTATTCGCTGTGGCTGAAGGAGTAGGTCTGTTTAGACAGGAATCACAGACATGGCTGCAAGCATACCACCAGGCAGCCTCCAATCAGAAGAGACGCCATCACTAGTATCCTAGGAAACAAACGCAGAAAAACGAGACTACAACTCCATGTATTGGCACCTAAAATTCAGAGATTTTAGTCCCTCAGAGGTGTCCGATCCCATCCAGGATCTGAAGAGGATGTCTGAGCTATGCTTTATGGGGTTGAGACTGGACCTGCATAGCAAGTAGGAGATCCTGGACCAGCTAGTGCTGGAGAAGTTTATGATCTCTGTGGGGCCAGAGCTGCAGGCCATAGCGATAGAGAAGGGAGTGAAGAGCTGCAAAGAACTGGAGAAACTACTGAGGAGCGGCGGGAAACCGCGCCAATGGTCCATAATCCACTGCCAAGGACAAATGTACCTGCTTAGGCATCCCGGTGCTGAGAATGCTGCAGACACGAAGAATGGATAGGGTGATGTGAGATGGTCACCAGAGCACCCATCAGAGAGCGAGGAGCCCCCCAACAGAGGCCAGGCTCGCCCAGAGTTGCAGAACCTGCTGGAGACTGAAAAGCCGTCCACCAATCAGTCTGTCATCTCCCAAGGACAGATGTCCTTCCTACGTGGTTCCGGTTTGGAAATGGCCAAAGTCAAGGCGGATGACTGGGGTGAGAACATGGTGGTATTGTCGGATGATAGTCTCAGCGGTGACGAGGCTAGTCCGGGATCACAGAACCTGCCAAGGACTGAGTCGTGCATCAGCCAGGAAGAGGAAGTTTTTCTGGAGACGGCAACTGGCAGCAGAGAGCCAGACTACCTGAGACCTGAGTGGAACCAGGAGAGTGACTTGGTACAGGACTGGGATGACCTGTTTTTACCTCAGGACCCTCAGCCGACGCAGGATCCTGATTCTCTCCAAGCAGAAGCTGCCTCAGTGATGCTCCAGGGAGACAAACATGGATGCGGCCATGCCGGTCACGATGGATGCAGCCACACCGGTCACCCGTATTCTAGCAAACAGGGATACAGCTGTAAATACGGGTCTTCAGAGGCTTAGCAGCTCCAGGGCAGACAGGTTGCCCACTCCCCAAGGAAGGGCCTCCTGTGTGGGCAATACAGAAGATGGGCAGTTAGTGGTCGCTATCCTAAGGCCTGAAGAGTCGGTACTTCACCTCGCTGGCCGGGCTCCTTTTGGGTGCCATCAATGGAACAAGATTTTTCGTTACAAGTCTCAGTTTATCCTCCACCAGAGGTCCCACACAGGAGACCGACCCTTTCGGTGCCACTTGTGTGAAAAGGGATTTCTGCAGTCCTCAGACCTCAGAGTTCACCAGCGCATCCACATGGGCGAAAAGCCTTACGGGTGTAGCATCTGCAACAAGGTGTTTACCCATGAGTCCTCCCTGCTGGATCACATCAGGATCCACACGAAGGAGACGTCGTACGTGTGTGAGAGCTGTGGAAAACGCTTCAACCACAGGGCAACCTCAAGGTCCATATGGACATCCACAGCAACGTAAGACCCTACAAGTGCATGGAGTGCAACACGGCCTTTCGACAGAAGGGGACGCTGATGGGGCACATGAAAATCCCCTCGAGAGAGGAGGTGCCGTTGTGATTCTATTTCGGGCTTGAGGTCTTTTCCTAGAGAGACAGTTGCTAGGTTACCTCTGTTCCGTGCTTCCTGTACCATGGAAACAGGTAGGATTGTCTCATCTCCTGAAGGTCTGAGGACAAATGGGTTTCACTATGGCCCCCAACTGGTGTTTGTTTGAGACTCTCTGTATCTCTGGCTGTCCCGGAACTCACCATGTAGACCAGGCTAGGTTGAAACTAAAGAGACCCACTTACCTATGTAACCCAGATTGACCACGAACTTGTGACCCCACCCATACCTCTGCTGAGAGTGTTGAGATGCCGCTCCTTGGCAGGCTTTTATACACACATTGTTACTGGTTGATTATGTATTGTCAATATTGAACGGCAAAAATGGGAGTGACATTTGTCCCTGATAACACTGTAAAATGTGGCTTTTTCCAATAAATTACTTAGCAAAAGACAAAAAAAAAAAAAACCAAAAAAAAAAAAACTTAAGAGAAGATGGGAATGGAGCCTGGAAAGCTTTGGTACATGAGGGAAAGAATAAATCTAGAAATTGTGGGCACGCAAGAAGAATTTCATGCTATAGGCAAAGGAGATATGAGTAACAAAATCATAGAAGAAAATGTTTATATCTGGAGGCAGTCATAACCATTGAGTAACAAAATCATAGAAGAATCATAGAAAAAAATCTCCACATCTGGAGACTGTCACGACCACTGAGCAGCAAAATCATAGAAGAAAATCTTCACATCTGGATACGGTCACACCCATTGAGCTACAAGAGGCAGACAGAAGACCAGATTGACAGGGCCTTCATATCATATACTCAAAAACAGAGACATCTACAAAAGAGAACATGGATGCTGCAGGAGAGAAGGGCAACATCTTACATGGAAGCAGGCTGATCAGGATAACATTATTCAACAAGAAAACTGTATGGCTAAAGACCTGGGAAAGATTTATTCCAAGTTCTGAAAGGTTATTGCTGCCACCCACTATGACAATCAATAAACTATCTATCATATTGAAGAACAATAAAAAACGGACTAAAAGGATTTATGGCCACTAAACCAACTCTACAGAAGATAATAGAAGGAAAACTTTGAATTGAAGAGAAGATTAAACACACCCAAGAGACCACTGAAGGGAAAGTAAACAATATCGTGATTGTTAAGAAAAAGATTCTAGAAAAGTGACCTGGACTAGCAGATCACTCTTTGATGACAGGATTCTAAGAGGAAGGGTCAGGAGATGAGAAGATAAAGAAGATTTTTTTTTAAAAAAAAGTTGGGGTCACAAGATCTTGCTCAAAGTATGTCTTATGCCAGAGAAGCATTCTAATAAGTACAGAATCTTATATACAGTCTTTCCTGACAGGGAAAATGTGATAGAGCAACAAAAGCTGTTAAACAATGAGACAGAGTCATTGGGAAGCTAATCAAGCAACCTCAAGGACATCAGAGACAGCTCACCTTGGGACTCTGGCAATAGTAGCCCATTGTTTTCTGAAGTTGACAGTACCCAACTTTCACTTATATATGTTTATAATTTCAACATCTTTTTTCTTGGTCCCTGTGGAGTGGTTCTGATTAGGTCGGGTTTGAAGTCTGTATGTCAGCTGTTAAAATATCCTGCCTGCTTATATCCTAGTTTCAATTCCTTGGAGTACCTTTCCTCCAGCCTGTCAATCAAAAGTGCCTTTTTTTTCTTTTTTTTGCAGATCTGTGTTTCTTATAGGAAGCGTAATTACAGGACCTTTTTCATAATTTATTCTTCTTGTCAGTTACTTTTGATTGCAGAATTGAGACCATTACGTTGAGAGCTGTTATTGAAATTTGTATATTAATTCTTATCATTTTACTGATTTTGTATTGTCCTTTGTTGAGGGCGAGGTCAACCTGAAGCTTTCCCTTAATGTATGGAGAATAAACACAATTCTTTTTCTAAACCAAGAACACGCTTAACAGAGCCAGTGATGGCCCCAGTGCCAGGTCCTCACAGGGAACAGTGGCTTTGAATACTTACAGTCAAACTTTTCACTGTAGATGGATTATTTTGTAGGAGGAGAGGTGTACCAACTTACAAATAATGACATGGAGATTTATTATTAATTATCAAAGTGTAGCCTTAGCTTAGATTTGTTCATAACTAGTTCTTGTAATATAAATTAACCCACATTTTTTAAATCTGTGTTTCATCATGTGATTTGATACCTCATCACTCCATACAGCCCATCCTGCTTCCTCATCATTTGTTGGCCAGTCCACTTTTCTTCTTCCCAGAGATTCTTTTCTGCCTGCAAGTCCTACCTATCTCACCTGCCTAGCTATTGGCCATTTGGCATTACACCAACTGCAGCAATATATCTTCAGAGGGTATACAAATACCACACAGCAATAGCCACAGATATGAGACCCAACACAGTAACCATATGTGAGTTCCAAACCCCAATCCCAGTAGCATAAAGAACCGGCAGAAAAGAATTACACACATCATAGTTAAGCAGCATCATAGACCAGACATCAGAGAACATTCTACTGAAACACTACAGTTATCAGCTCATAGAACATTCTTTAAAATGAAATCTTGACACAGAAATCAAGTCCCCAAAAATACAGGAGAGTGGGATGATATAACTATCTGGCCACAATAGAGTAGAGATAGAAATCAACAATGAAAGGATCTATAGATAATACAAAACGCCAATAAAGTTTAACAACACAGCACTGAATAATGCGATGGACATGTGGGAATCTATTGAAGAAACCAAAAAGGAAAATTTTAATTCCTAGTATTAAGTGAAATAAAAAGAGAACACATAAGAACCTATGGGTTATGAATGATAAATTAAAAACTAAGAGGGAATTTACAGCTCTAAATGTCTGCATTAAAAAATCCGATTTACTGGCAATAGAGGTGGCTCATAAGATGGAGAAGACCCATGCTGGGTGGCTTACAACTACATGTCACTCCAGCACCATGGAATTCAACATCCTCTTCTGGTTTCACTGACACCTGCACACACATTGCATACACAAACAGAAATCATGTACACACACACACACACACACACACACACACACACAGGAATCTTTAAAAATATCGGGTGCCATGACAATTTTACTCCACTGGAAGCTATCATCTTCCTGCTCTTCCTGAAGACCTGCATTGAGCCTGCTTATTCCTCAGGTTGCCCTCGACAACAAGGAGATTGAATCAGCATTAATGACCATCAGTTGAAAAATGGATGATGAAACTTAGAACATTTACACAATGCAATTCTATTAGCACTGAAAGAAAAGTGAAACTGTGGGATTTGCAGGAAAATAGATGAAACTAGAAATTATTAGACTGAGTGAGGTAACACAGGCTCAGGATGATAAACACTGTGTGGTCTCTCCAGTATATGAGTCCCAGATTTGAAGCTTTGAATTTTGTGTTTACGTTGGAGGTATCTGTAAAGTCTAACAAGGACATAAAGGAATCATGAAAGGAGGATTTCCCAATGGATACAGTACATGGATACAGAAATAGATGCAATATGGAAGGAGAACATGGAAATACCAGGCATGGAAGGAACAAGTGAACTGGGGAAAGACTGGAAGAGGGACAATAAAAACTAGGAATGTATGGTAAAACCGTTTAGGAACCTGCTACTGTATAAGATAATCACAAATATATTTGTAAAAAGGAAGTTAAATGAAGCTGCCTTTCACATGAAAGCAACACTGTTCCCAGGGTTTTTTTTTTTTTTTTTTTTAGACAGGGTTTCTCTGTAGCTTTGGAGCCTGTCCTGGAATTAGCTCTTGTAGACCAGGTTGGCTTCTAACTCACAGAGATCCACCTGCCTCTGCCTCCTGAGTGCTGGGGTTAAAGGTGTGTGCCACCACCACCCAGCATGCCACCACCACCAGCTGTTATTTTTTTTTTTTAGCTTAAATTCAGCGCCTGTGAGTTGTTGGTCAATAAGTTCCCAGTGACTTCCAAGACAAAGTAGCCTATTGTTCTTGGCTGCCTGATAACCACACAGAGGTTTAATATTAATTACACAAGCTAAGTCATTAGCTTATGCTTGTTACTAACTAGCTCTAGCTCTTACAACTTAAATTAAGCCATATTCTTAAGTAAATCTACAAGTGACTCAAGGTTTGTTTCATCATTTTCTACGTGTCCTGTGTCCTCTCTAACTGGATTTTGACTCCTGAGATGCTCCCCTTCTCCTTCCCAGCCTCCTTCTAGTCTGGCTCTCCTGCTCAATTTCTTCCTGACCAGCTATAGGCCAGTCAGCTCTTTATTAACCAATGAGAGTAACACATATTTACAGTATACAAAGATTGCTCCACAGCAGCTGCCCACTGGTGCGAGGCACTAATACCCTGTAACTGAAGACAGCACACTTGGGTTGCAAGTAATGGAGACATCAATCTTGAACTGTCCAGGAATCTCTCTATTTTATGTCTAGTTTTCATAATGCCAGAAGGAGCTATACCAGGGGGAAAAGTCATTAATGTTCTCATCCAGTGCTGATCCCTGTGTGCTACAACTCCAGCCTGCCAGGCAGTGTGCCCATTAGTGCCATTGTGGCATGGCAGTTATGGGAGTAACCAGTCACTTTCTGATCATGTTTGAGGTCTGCCCCAGTGCTGTAAACCTGGGCAAAAGACTAAGTCAAGGGAGATCAAAGGCTGGGAGTGAGGGGCTGCTGCTGTTTTGCTAAACGTTCATGTTACCATGCTGCCTTCTACACATTTATGTATCCAGAGGCTACTTCTTCATTCCAGGCTGGGAAGACCTGAAATAAGCACACAGAAACTGTATAAATTAAAACACTGCTTGGCCTATTAACTTATGCATATTTCTAGCTAGCTCTTATATCTTAAACCAACCTATTTCTGTTAAGCTGTGTATTGGCACATGGTTGTGGCCTACCAGTAAGTTTCTGTCCAGCTTCTGACATCTGTCTCCTGAGGTGGCTGCAAGGCTTCTCTCTGACTCTGCTCTCTCTCTCTCTCTCTC